AGTTGGCTCCATGGAACTTGAAGCCTCAGTTGAAATCAAGCGCAGACTGGCACCTGGGGAGAAGGGATCTAGCACTGCTGGGGGAAGACAATCCTTGTGCAGTGATATTGCCCTTACAAAAGGGGGATTGTCAAACACCTTGAGATCTTAAGAGAGAGAGCAGACTCTCCTGCCCCTTTGTTGCAAGCATCAAGCATCATTCTTCTCCCAGCAGGTGAGGGTGGTGGTGCTGGGGAAGAGCAAAGTGGCACCCTGACGGCAGGGAAACAGCCGTTCACTCCAACTCGCCCAGCTAGGTCATGTGCACTTTGAACTTTCCTTAAGTTAAGGGACTAATACATGGTGACTTCCGGTAACCAAGCTCTGCATTCAGACAACTCCACATGTTGTGCCTCCACAGGCAGCGACTGGAAAGTGAGCCCCAGCCATAAATACCTGCAAGAAACAGCAGGTTCCAAGGTTAAGCCAATGTTGTTTCAGGTGGAATATACACATGCATGATCATGTGAATTTGCTTTCAGTATATGGTGACTGGAAGAGAGTATGAGTATACCTCCAGCCCGTTCTCAGCTCCATTAAGCCTCTTATGAGTATACCCCAGCCCGTTCTCAGCTCCATTAAGCCTCTGGGCATAGTGGAGGAGAGGTAGTGGTGAATTTCCTGCATTATGCAAGGGGCTGGACCAGATGACCCCTGAGGTCCCTTCAGCTCTCTGTTTCCATGACTGGTGCTTGATGCTGTGCCGTTACACACTGCCTTTGCTCCAGCACCCAATTCGAAACTTTCTGCTTTGATCATGCTCCAGTTCGTTGTGACTGGCGGGTGATTGCGGGAGGAGTTCTCTCCTTTGTCCCCAATTTTAGATCTCCGTTGCATCCCAGGGTGGGCAGGAAAAGGAGCCCTATGAGGGTAGGTGCCTGCATCTTGGCACCCAGGTGAGTCGAAGCTCCGTGCCCAAAGGGAAAGCCACAGTGGCAATGAGCCAGGCTGCAGCGCGGACAAAGCTCAGATTGTACAGGAATTATCAAGTTTTTGCAGTTGGTTATCATTCTGGAGAGGAGAACGCCCTCTTTAAGTGCCCTTCTTTTGCAGTTTCCGAAAAGTCTGCCTGGACCCTGCAAGGGGAGGAGATGTAAAAGCTGGACGCTTGACTATTATTGCCTTAAATCTTGCCTAGCAGCACAAAGGAACAAATGCAGTTTGAAACCCTGACAGTCCACACTATTAAATCATTAAAGGTTTTAACTTAAAACCGTGGCATTGTGATGTTTCTTCTGTCCCAGTTTAGTTCTATCCAGATGGCTCAGGGTAGCATTGCTACTGAAACGGGACTTTTGCTTATTATGACAGTTTTATTGCACTTGAAACTCCAAAGAGCTCAGGGCAACGAATATGACCGGCTTCCGCAGTCACAGCTGGTTGTTCGGGGCCTGAACTTGGGAGAAAAGTTTTCCTGCCAGCAAGCCAGGCAGAAAGAAAGACAGGATGAAGAAAGAAGAAAGGGACCCTCCCATCTCGATCCTGCAGCAGCAGCAGCTTCTTGATCTCCTGTTCCCACAGAAAGGACATTCCACTTCCACGTTCACATTCAAAGCGGTTTAATCTTAAATAGCAAATCACAGCAGGTGTCTGAAGACATTTGTTGCATGCATCTCTCAAAGATACCGACTAGACAAGGTTGCCTGCACCACCCCCTGCCCGGGTTGGCTATTTTTCCAGTCGTTACCACAAATTTTCATTTTCTCTTTAATATAAAGCATCCCTTTCTCACTAAACAGATACAGCCCAAGCTGTAAAGAAATTGCACAGAAACAAAAGTATGATTTAAGCACATCCGTTGCAGTCACATCTTTACTGACAAAATGGGGAAGAAATGTGTGTGCTGGATACTGGTACATCCTTAAAAATATAACAGGAAGTGTTCATAAGGTATTTAAGGATGCTACCCTTGCTGAGCAGGATTCGAATAATCAAAGGGATGGGAAGGCAGTGGAAACTCGGCAGCTTTCACAGCATAAGCATTTTAATACAATCTTCATAAGAAAATCATTATAGGACTAAGCAAAGATGGAGAGTCTTTTCCCTAACTAAGCTTCAGGGCTGATTCCGCATTTCTCTACAAAATGTAAACTTGCAGCAGCAGTTCCATCCATGCATGCATGAAAGGCTCATAGGTGAAATTTGCTCTGCGATGGACCCGAGCATTAAAAAAAAAAAAATCACATTAAAGTCTACAGCTCCCGACATCAACAGGAGCACCACACACGGCCGACCTGCCTGCCCCCCAAGTCTTCTGCACGTTTGGGAATCGCCCTGAGACCCATCCTTTTTGCCTCGGAAACATTCCGTCAGAGGAGCGATTAGCAGCCTTCGCTCCAACAGCGCCTTCGCCATCCTAGTTTTTTGGTAGACTTCACCCACCACAATAACAACGCAACAGTCACAAACCCAAGCCCGGCTTGGACGGCAAAGCCAAGCCTCATCCCTCATCTGGAGATGCCAACTGTCTATCCCTGAGAAAGCCTGCTAGATCTTTCCGCAAGAGGTACTTGCTTATGTGTGTGTGTGCACAGGTGTGTGTGTGGGGGCATTTCAGGTGGCTTCGGACGTGGTGAGGATTTCAGTGCCTTGTGCTTCTTTGTCTCTTTAATATCGCCACCTTGCCCGAAATCAAACTTCCAAGGAGCCTTAGAACATCATGTGGAGAGAGTTTCAAAATTTCTGCTTTGGACTAAGAGGGAGCAGGAAGAGACCAGAAGACTCCTGTTTTGCCACAATACTGTCACAGTATCAGGAGCCTTGCTCCCAAATGAAATCTGGTTTTTAATCGCCCAAAAGCTTTCCAGCAGAGCACAGCAGACTGGCCTAAGCTGTGCACAGGAGGTGAAGTTCTCCAGGTAAAAATACTTTGAAGCCCTGTGGAAGGTGAAGTTCCTCCAGGTAAAAATACTTTGTCCCCATCTGTACTGGAAAACTTCATCCCATTTCCAACGAGCCTTCATGTGCATCCATGTGCATTTTGCAGACTTCATTATACCCAGCCAGTGTCTGAATCTTTCCTCCAGCAGCAAAGGAGAGGGGAGCCTTCAGCCATGCCAGATCAGGCCTCCAAGAGGAGTCGAGAGACAAAGTCAAAGTCCTTGAAGACGGCCTGTTCCTCTGCTGTAAGGGCTGGGAGATCATTGGGAGGCGTCAGGACGGCCTTCTGGGAGGTGAACTCCTGGTCGAAGTTGCTGATGTCAGTAGCACCTCTCAGAGTGGGCACAAACGGGGGCTTTAGGGTCTTGGCAAACAGGGCATCCCAGTCGATCTCCTGGAAAATGGAACAACTCAATTGACCCACAATGAACAGAGAACAAGAGAAAAAGGATTCTATTGCTTAATGCTAGAACACGGGCAAGCGGAAGCCAGACCAGAGGAACACTCAGAGATGCCCAAAACAGGAGAAGTCCAGTAGCCTGTCTAGCTCCCTGTCTCCAAAGCACGCCCCCTCCCACTGAGTGGTGCATATGTTGACTGAGTGGCCTCTCTAGCAGAGAACTCTCTTCTTTAACTGGCAGCTGCTGTCTCAGGTATCGAGAGAAGGGCCCCTCCTTTCTAGCTCAGCTACACAAGATCCTTAAATGTGGCTGCTGGTGGTTGAACCTGGGACCTTCTGCAGGCCGCTGCTCGACAGGCGAGCTCTGGCCCCTCCCTGTAACTTCTGTAGATGTTGCTTTATGCCAAGTCTGATCCCAGATTCATCCAGCCCATCTACTATCTAGAGCCAGTTTGGTGTAGTAGGTTAAATGCGCGGGCTCTAATCTGGGAGAACCGGGTTTGATTCGCCACTCCTCCACTTGCAGCTGCTGGATGACCTTGGGCAAGCCGTAGTTCTGGCAGAGCTGTTCTGGAAAAAGAGCAGTTCTCAGTCAGAGCTCTCTCAGCCCTGCCTACCTCACAGGGTGTCTGTTGTGGGGAGGAGGAGGGAAAGGAGTTTGTACGCCGCTCTGAGACCCCTTTGGGTAGTCAAGGGCGGGGTATAAATCCAATCTCTTCTTCTTCTTTTACCTCCCAGGGTGTCTGTTGTGGGGAGGAGGAGGGAAAGGAGTTTGTACGCCGCTCTGAGACCCCTTTGGGTAGTCAAGGGCGGGGTATAAATCCAATCTCTTCTTCTTCTTTTACCTCCCAGGGTGTCTGTTGTGGGGAGGAGGAGGGAAAGGAGTTTGTACGCCGCTCTGAGACCCCTTTGGGTAGTGAAGGGCGGGGTATAGATCCAATCTCCTCTTCTTCTTCTACTTCGACCAGCAGCAGGTCCCCAAGGTTCCTAACAAATGCTCACTGGGCTCTGCCGCCCACAGTCTTCTAAAGGAGGGCTGTATGCAAGGAGGTGCCAGAATCAAACTTGGGCTCTGCTAGGCTTGCCAGCCTCCAGGGGGTAGAAAAGAGTTAATGGCAACCATGATGTATTTAAGAAGGGACTACACAAAGAAGGTTTACTGTTTTGTAAGAACTTCAGATTATTGGACTGCACTTGCCAACATTGTGGAGTCATTTTTACATGTTTATTCTTGTATGAATGTACAGAAATGTATTTGTATTATTAATATTGATCTGTTCTTTGAAAATCTATTAAAGAGAGCTATCCTCTTCGTAAATATATCACGGGTGACTATTTTCTACTCACTTGTCCCCTGATCTCTCTTTGATTATCCTAACTTCCAGGTGGTGGCTGGAGATTTCCTGGAATCACAACTGGTCTCCAGCCAACAGAGAGCGGCCCCCTGAAGTCTTTCTGTACATTTCTGTACATTCTTCAAACTGGAGAGCCAGTTTGGTGTAGTGGTTAAGTGCGCGGACTCTAATCTGGGAGAACTGGGTTTGAGTTCCCACTCCTCCCCTTGCAGCTGCTGATGTGACCTTGGGTCAGACACAAGCTCTGGCACAGCTGTCCTTGAAAAAGAGCCGTTTCTGTCAGAGCTCTCTCAGCCCCACCCACCTCACAGGGTGTCTGTTGTGGGGAGGGGAAGGGAAAGGAGTTTGTAAGCCACTCTGAGACTCCAAGTGAAGGGCGGGGTATAAATCCAATCTACTTCTTTCCCCCCTCCAAACCCCCCCCCCCCAATCTCCAAGAATTTCCCAGTCTATAGCTGGCAACCCCAGGCTCTCCCATTGATCTGTGCCTCCTTCCCAAACTCATCCTCCAGACAGTTTGTGGCTGCTCAGAGACTCCAGCCAGACACTCTCCCATGGGGGGGGGGGTTTCTCCACACTCAGGACCAATGTTCCCTCTAAGCTGTGGAGTCCTGTGAACAAAAATTCTACTTGGTGAGCTGCTGGCATCAAAGTTGTGAGCGAGCGATATATGATCTTATTTACTATACTTCACACATTTTCTCTAATGTCTCCTCTGAACATTTACACCATCAAATAGGGTTATTGACCGTTCAATAGATGCGGACTTATTCAACTATTCAGACTATGAGAGTGAACGATGTGTTATACAAACATCCACCTGTGATAATTCAAGTTTGTGGGGAGTATTTCGTATTTTGTCATGTAATTCACCACCGGTGACCAGAGCCTTCTAAATCTGCATGTGAATGTACTTCTAAGTAAAAGAATACAAATATAATTATAAGAGAGAATTGCAAATGCAAAGCTCTAACGTCAGCACTGCAAAGAGACACAGTGACAAGATGTCTTTTCACAAGGGTGGAATGCTGACATTGGAAAGAGGGAAAGCAATAAAAGCAAAGTGTGAATGATGAATGATTTAAAAGACAAAAACAAAAAAACCAAACAGCAGCCGCTTTCTCCATTACGAGACGGAGGTGACTCCCTACCTTGAAAAAGGGCTGAGTCTTAATCTCCTCAGCATCTGCTGCTCCGGCTCCGAGGCGCCGCTCCGGACACTTCCGGAGAAGCTGCAGGAAACGATAAAAGGCAAACGTCGTCCCCAAAAGGATAACAGCAAAGACTAGGTGGTCTGACACACCAGCCAAGTATCCCCAGTAGCAGGCTAGTGCACCAGAGAGGCACAGATGCGATTCACTGGGCACAGTCCACCAGCGAGTCCCACTGAAACAAACGGGGGTCGTATGAGACCGCCTCTCTCTGAAGTTGCAACACAAGAGTAAAACTGAAAACTCACATCTCCTTTAGCAGGGGTCTTCCGTCTCAGTGAGCCTGTAGGCCCTTCTGGGATTTTGAGAACTGGCAGTAGGCGCCACCACAAAATGGCTGCCATGGAGGGACGGAGCCGGTCAGAAAACGGCCGTCATGGAGAGCCGGAACCAATCAGAAAACACTGGGGGCGGCTCTTTCTGAATGAGCGCTCCTTCTGATTCCACCAGAGCTCATCTGAAGCTCCTCCTATTCCACTGAAGCGGAAAGCCAGGACTACCAATACGCTTTGGGAAAGAAGTAAATGGCTGCCAGGAAGCCCACCAGCAGGGGGAAATACTGTCCTAGACCAATGACTGGACCATACCTTTCGGAGCACGGAGATAGTCTCTGTAGAAAGGAATCGTGGGTAACGGACATCTTCGTTAACAATACTGTCAAAAACCTCCTCTTCGTTGTCACCGGGGAATGGAGACTGGAGGAAAGGAAGAGACTGCCCTAGAGCAGGTAGACAGACCTCCCTTTTGTTCAAGATTTACAACTTATGTTTTTAAAAAATAACAGCTTAGTCATTTCCTGGTCCTTCCTCCACTCGCCTGTGTTCTCATAGGGAGGCCAGGATAGCTTTGCAACAAAAGCTTTGACACAGGAAGATTCACACACCTCACCAACCAGCATCTCGAAAACGAGCACGCCCAGCCCCCACCAGTCTACTGCCCGGGTGTAAGAGGGATCCGTCAGCACTTCTGGAGCCAGGAACTCTGGGGTGCCGCAGAAGGTGCTGGTCCGGTCGCCAAAGCCCATTCCTAGAAGGTTGAAAATACAAAGCCGTTTTAATACACCAGGAAGATCTAGCCAGAGCCGCCAAAACTCGGGACAATCCCTATGCTAACAGAAGCTAAATATTTCGGTCTGTACATCTGGGTTCCCCAACCTTTTTGAGCCCGTGGACACCTTCAGAATTCTGACACGAGTGGGGGATGCAACCACAAAATGGCTGCCACCAGAGGCGGAGCCAACCACACACAGGCAGCTTAAGTACCGGGGAGAAGAGGAATAATTAGAAAAATACAGTAGGAAAAGAGGAGCAAGAGAGAATAAAACCACTACTGCAGTGGCAGCTGCCACTGAAACAGCATTATTTTAATCTGCCTGGCCAATCAGATCTCCAGTGGCCAGTCGTAAGACCTGCTGTGCCAAGTGCCACGCCTGGTGTCCCCCCCACCCACTTTCTGAAAGGAGCTGGCAGGCACTGTGATGCCCACAGGCCCCACATTGGGGACCCCTGTTGCACATGAATCAAAACGCACATGCCTGGCTTCCCTTTGCAGACCTGATTCTGTTTGCTTCCAGTTATAGAGACACTGGGCCAGGCACAACACTGAAGTTGTCCTACTCCCAGGTTTCTGGGATTTCTGGAGCCCCTCCCCAGTGCTAAGGACCTGCCTGTGAAGAGGGGCCGCAGGTGTGGAGCAGGCAGCTGTGGTCTCTGAGTCTGCTGGGCGCTCACACTCCCCTCGCTTCCTGAGATGATCTGGAAAGGGGGCCCAGGCCAACTGAGATGCCTGGCTTAGGGAAGGGCTGCTGTGTGCGGCCATAAAAGCCCTCCTGGCTTTGGGGGCTCTGCCAGCAGCACGGCTGTTCCTGCGAGACTTGGGTGCCCTCTGCAAAAAGGGCAACCACCCCGGTTTTGCCTCCCCCCACCTGGTCATTTATTTTACAGGAAGATTGTGGGCCTGCTGCCTCTAGCCCTGCCTGCTCCCCCTTCCCTTTGGGATACAGGTTTTCTGGCAGGTAGACAGACCAAGGCGCTACGGTGGCTCAAGTGGTTAAGACGCTGAACTGCAGACCGAAAGGTCGGTAGTTCAGCAGTTCGAGACCCAAGTGCCGTGTGACAGAGTGAGCTCCCATCTCTGGCCCCAGTTCCTGCCAAACTAGCAGTTCGAAAGCAAGAAATTGCAAGTAGATAAATAGGTACCGCTTTGGTGGGAAGGTAACAGTGTTCAGTGCACCTTGGCGTCTAGTCATGCCGGCCACATGGCCACGGAAATGTCTTTGGACAGCGCTGGCTCTTCGGCTTGGAAACAGAGATGAGCACCGCAACTCTAGAGTCAGATTCGACTGGCCTTCGAGCAAGGGAAACCTAGACAGACATCCAGGCCCAGGCTTTTCTGGCCACAGAAATATCTAGTGTTGCAGGTCTAGCTGCGGGGCCACTGCAAAGAGACAGACATCCAGGCCCAGGCTTTTCTGGCTGGCCACAGAAATATCTAGTGATGCAGGTCTAGCTGCGGGGCCACTGCAAAGCCCCAAGGGGAACAGCTCCTGACCAATGTTCCCTCTAAGCTGTGGAGTCTTGTGAGCAAAAATTCTACTTTGTGAGCTACTGGCATTAAAGTTGTAAGCAAGCGATTTGGCAACTGCATAGTTTGATATGGAGCTGTCCTTCTTGAGCCAAGACAAAAACGTGTGAGCCGGAGGCTAAAAAACTGTGAGCTAAACTCACACTAACTCAGCTTAGAGGGAACACTGTTCCTGACCTCCAGGTTCTTTGAAGTTCATTTTTGCAGCCAACAGGGGCTAGAAACTTGGTTTTTCTTTTTAAAATGAAAGCTCGCTAAGATCAGCAGGACTCTAAGTTCTGTAAATCACAATAAGCACTTGCACAGAATCACAAAGCACTCACACGCTCAGGTTTTGCTGCCTGGTCACTCAGTTTAAGAGAGATTTATTCAGAGCAATTCTCAGCATGTTTAGGATCTTCCCAACCCTGAATAGTTTTGGTGTCACTCACCAATTGGACAAACTCCTTATTGATCCCCAACTCCAGATTTATTTATGAAGAAATTAAGCAATGCTGCGCCCGATGCAGACTCACACGGATTTTCTCAGGAAACGCCAAACAGGCATTGTGCGAAACAGATGCTCCAAATCAACCAAGTTCAGAGGGATAAACAGCTGGTGCAGCCACGGCCAAGATTACTCACCTTCCTTACAGAGTCCGAAATCGGCAATCTTCACAAAGCCACGTGCATCTAAGAGTAGATTATCCAACTTTAGGTCCCTGCAAACAGGGGAAAGGAACCGGGCAAAATTCAGGGAAAAGGTGCTAACAGACCTGGCACCCACAAGTTCATCAGCCCACTGTTCATGCCTGGGGCTGAAGACTGAAGAGGCGATACTTATTAGGGACAGAAGAAGCCTGTGTGTTATCTAGCATGATTACTGCAAATAAAATACATGTTCAACGTAGCATTGCAGTGGTCTGATGGTGATGCAGAGCAGGGTCTTCTCAGTGGTGGTGTCAACTATCTGGAATCAATTACCCCAGTGCTCAACCTTTGTAAGTGTTTAAGAAATAAGAATATAAAGCTGTGCTTTTAAAACCATAAGGAAGGATACATAGGATGGTCTGGTAGAATCTGTGGCACAAAACACTTTTCACCAACTTCAGTCGGTTTGCTAACCTGTGTCCATATTTGGGAAAGGATGACCGTATTATGATTACTCATGCTTGGGTAATATTTATTACTGTGATGTATAGTACTCTGGGCTTTGATCTGTTTGTAGGCCCGGGATAAGATTCTCCAGTAAAATGGATGAGGATACATTCTAGTATTTGAAATCATGGCATGGAATATCATGTGAAGACACTATGAATAGTAGGTTTTCAAGAGAGACTACCACGGTGCTTCAGTATGTTCGGATGAAGTTGTGAACTAAACAAAAATCAACTCCGGGGAGTTTCATCAACCCACTTTTTCCCTGTACTTTTGAACCCATTTCCCCCCTGTATTTTGGGTGTGCATATGAAAGACAGAATATGTAACAGTGTGGATGTGTTATTAGCTATTATAAAATAACACTGTTAAATACAGTGGAGAAATTGTATTTCATTTCATCCTAAGCGCTGAGTGTCAGCCTGTTTTCTGGTTTACTAGTTGTCTTGGGCTGTTACCATTTATATTACAGATTAAAATAGTCAAACAAGGCTACTCAGTGGGAGTCCTTGAAATTAATTTATCTAGTACTGAAATAACCACATAAGCTTCCAGTAATTTCCCAAGATATTTAATATTAATGCCTTGGAATCAGAGTATGGTGGGTGAGGGGAACCTCCACATTCCAAGACACTGATCCTCTGAATCACAGAGACAGGAGGCAACATCAGGGGAAGGCCTCAGCCTCTAAGCCCTGTTGTTGGCCATCTAAAGGAGCTGGTTGGCCACCATGTGAGACAGGATGCTGGACTAGATGGACCACTGGTCTGATCCAGCAGGGCTGTTCTTATCCTCCACATTCAGGGTGCGGTCAGACGGCGTGCTGAGAGCGGGTTAAACTGCTCCGGTTCTGACTTAATCGAGATCACACTTACTTCCCTTTTCCTGCCTCACTGTGCAGTCACATCGCTCCCCGGCGTCTACACTACCAACGCGCGGGAGCGTGTGTCGGTGGTTTTTTAAAAAATTTTCTCAGTTTGCGCATGCGCATAGGCGCTTATCCGTAGAATGGGGGGCGAAACTACCATGGTGCATGCGCAGAACCACCAGGGCGAATCAATCCAACCCCTCCAACAAAAGACTTCCCTTTAAATGTCTGACCTGAAAATGGCCTCTGTGAGATCCCGAACTCATCTAAACTCTAAAACAAGTGACCGTTTAAATGTCGGTTTTCTAAACACGGTAGCGGAGCTCTGCCTATGCGCACACCGCCAACGCTAAAAAAAATTGTGGACGAAAAGCGGAAGCTTTGGGCAGCTTTCGAGCAGGGAGGGGGTTTAAACCGGAAGTGGCTTGATACCGGAGGAGTGATCACACAGGGGGAACATGCGGCTTTAAACAGGAGAGCTGAGAAAACACCAATTTGGGACCTGGTAACAAAATACTCCGGATTAAAGCGGTTTTGAGCCAGAAACCAACAGCTGGGGACGGGAGGCAGATGTTGACTGTGTGATCGTACAGATAAAATCCGTTGCTGAACTGTCATGACACCAGATCAAACGGCGCGTCTGAACGCACCCTCAGAGACACCAAGCCTCTGAATCCCAGAGCCAGGAGGCAACATCAGGGGCTCTTCTGATGTTCTAACGTTTTTACATAGGGCTTTAAAAGCTAAAGATAGACATATACATGGAGCATATCTACACCACCAAATTCAAGGCTTTTAATAGCCATTTTCTCTCCACAGGACATCTGGGATAGGTGTGGTTGTGATAATCAGTAACAGAGAATTCTTAATACTCACCAAACTAACATTTCCAGGGGGGAGGGGGAACTATGGCAGTAAAAGCAGTATCAAGCAAACATAAGAGTGTATTGCAGATACGGCCATTGTTCTCAGTGATTCTTTTAAACAAATTTGCAAGGCAGCAGGGTGTCATTTCCCTGGTATTGCAGATTTGTGAGAGAGACAGCGGCTTGCCTAAAGGAGCTTGCGGCAGAGGCAAGATTTGGACTGGAGGCTTCCCAAGCAACACTTGTAGCCACAAAACTTCTGGTGTGAGCAAAAGAAGCCATTCATTTTGCAATGCAAAATGATCCAGGTACCCCAAAGAGAAAATGTATGCCTTCAAAAGCACAGAAAAAGTACACAGATTAGGGTGGCCAGCTCCAGGTTGGGAAATACCTGGAGATTTGGGGGATAAATCCTGGGGAGGGTGGGACCTCAGCGGAGTACAATGCCCTAGAGTCCACCTTCCAAAGTGGCCGTTTCCCCCAGCTGAACTGATCTGTTTTCTGGAGATCAGTTGTAATCCAAGCAGATCTTCAGCCACTACCTGGAAGTTAGCAACCCTAGTACAGATAGACATGGCGGAGGTGTATTCTCCCAGGTTCTGTGCTGAGCCTTCAGTCTCAATACCTGCTCAGCTGTTTGGAAACCCCTACTTTCTGCTCCCTGTTGCAGGGAGCAGAAAGCAGGGGTTTAAACTTTAAATGGCTCACAAACTGATACGAACCATTTCAGTTCGCAAACTTCGGTCCATGTTTCAGCCACGAACCACAAACTGAACTGCAAAAATGCGGTTCGTGCCCATCCCGATTCTTGACCAGTAGGAGTTTCCAAGTTGATTTTGAGGGGAAACCCGTGTCCAAAGTGCCAATTGCAAACTGCAGCTGCAAAGACCATCCATTTGCCCTGCATCTAGGGAAGCTATCCCATTTATTTCTTTGCAACGTGTGCTCCCCAGGCCTGCTTCGGCAGCACCTGCCCTCAAGTTGGAGGGACACAGAGAAGATTAGCACAGCCCTCGGGGCAAGGGGAGCAGACAAGTTTGGGAAGGACTTTGCAAAGTATATACACGCGCATAACAACATGCAGGACTTGTCTGCATTCCGCAGGGCATGTAAGACAAGGGTTACTCCACCAGGCATTCCAATAATGTAATTTTGGTGGACTCTACCAACAACAATGTTGATTTGTTATGTCAAAAGCTGTGCGGTGAGTTTTAATTCGCTTTTATTGAAATTATGGTTTAATTGAACTGCTATGTTGTTAGCCGTCCCAAGCTCCATTCTGGGAGCGGGGAGGGATACCAATCTGATAAAATGTGTGTCCCATGTGCTTAGCTAGGGCAACTCCCGAGGTGGCTTCCAAATTTCCCCAATAATGAAATTATTAAAACATTCTAGGGTAAGGCACTGAAACAGAAGTACAACCCTAGGGCCAACGACCAACACACACACACACACACACACACACACACACACACAAATTAAAAAACTAGAATAGTAAGAGCAGCATAAATTTAAAACGAATGACATTTAGGAGACCAAATAAAAAATGGAGGTCTACTTCAATTTGGGAAAAGCCTATTTGTATGATTCCCCCACCTTGGACCCTTTCCCTCAATTCCATGGATATACCCCACAGTCTTACCTATAAATTATCTTCTTATCATGTAGGAACTGGAGGCCCAAGACCACACAGGCAGAGTAGAACCTACAAAAGCAAGATTTCAGCACAGAAATGGCAACGCTGCAAGCCCTCCCTGTACCAGCCGTGTGGCACCACGCTAAAATCTGTAACCACCACAACTGTGCCCACTTCACATATGTTAACATGAACACAAGAAGCTGCCTTATACGGAATCAGACCCTGGGTCCATTCAGGTCAATATGGTCTACTCAGACTGGCAGAGGCTCTCCAGGGTCTCAGGCAGAGGAGTTTTACATCAGGTGTTGCCAGACCCTTTAACTGGAGATGCCAGAGATTGAACCTGGGACCTTCTGCACACAAAGCCAATACTCCACCACTGAGCTATGGCCGCCTCCTCATTAAAGGTAAAGGTTCCCTTGCTCGAAAGCCAGTCGAGTCCGACTCTAGGGTTGCGGTGCTCATCTCCGTTTCAAAGCCGAAGAGCCAGCGCTGTCCAAAGACATTTCCGCGGTCATGTGGCCGGCATGACTAAACACCAAGGCGCATGGAACGCTGTTACCTTCCCACTGAAGTGGTACCTATTTATCTACTTGCAATTCCTTGCTTTCGAACTGCTAGGTTGGCAGGAGCTGGAACTAGAGACGGGAGCTCACTCCGTCATGCGGCACCCGGGTCTCAAACTGCTGGACTACTGACCTTCCACAGCCTGCAGTTCAGCGTCTTAACCACTTGAGCCACCGCAGCGCAGTCCTCCTGATTAGCTCATTATAATCCTCACAAGGCAGAATCGTCCTCACATTGTAGATGGGAGACCAGAAACTTCTATTTGACCCTGACCCGCAGCTCATATTGAACTGTGGTAAATTTTTAAGCTATAGCCCAAAAAACGTGTAGAGATCAAGTGCAGAAGAGCCCTAGAGGTTCTGGGCAACTGAGAGGACAAATCCTGTATATAAACCTCCATATTATGAGAGTTTTTAGACACTGATAAGAGAATTTTTAAAACTATTGTCATGTAATCTATATGTAATCCATGGCTCTTTTTGTAGCAGAAACTCCTTTGCCTATGAGGCGACACACCCCTAATGTAGCCAATCCTCCAAGAGCTTACAGTAGCCCCTGTAAGAAGAGCTCTGTAAACTCTGTAAACTCAGAGAGCCAGTTTGGTGTAGTGGTTAAGTGTGCGGACTCTAATCTGGGAGAACCGGGTTTGATTCCCCACTCCTCCACTTGCACCTGCTGATGTGACCTTGGGCCAGTCACAAGCTCTGGCACAGCTGTCCTTGAAAAAGAGCAGTTTGTGTCAGAGTTCTCTCAGCCCCACCCACCTCACAGGGTGTCTGTTGTGGGGAGGGGAAGGGAAAGGAGTTTGTAAGCCGCTCTGAGACTCCAAGTGAAGAGCGGGGTATAAATCCAATCTCTTCTTCTTCTTCTTCTTCTTCTCTCTTGGAGGATTGGCTACATTAGGGGTGTGTCGCCTCATAGGCAAAGGAGTTCTGGTACAAAAAGAGCCTATATACAATCTATACATTTTAGAAACGCTGAACAATTTTTTTAAATTGTCAGATTTGTATTATTGATGCAGTTAAAACACTTCTGCAACCAATTTGTGCTGGTTACATACCGAGTAGACTTGAAACTTGAAAAATTGTCGATGGGGGCTGAGATACGGTGAGAAGCTCGCCAGGGGCTTCCTGATTCCCATTATATTATATACCAAGTAGATATTTTTTATTATAACTATTTATTTCATTTATACCCTGCTTTTCTCTCCGGTGAGGGCCCAGAGACGTTCACGTGGCTCTCCACTCTGTCCTCACAACAGCCCTGTGAACTGGAGGTGAGGCTGTGAGCAAGTCTCCACAGGGCAGCGGGGGTCTGAATCTGAGTCTCCCAAATCCTTGCACGGCACGCTGGGCACTATACCACTCTGTCTCTCATTCATGTAGCATCTTTCTCCATAGCTATATGGATTGAGCAACACCTGCATTCGGATATATCTGGTCTGAATGGGTCCAAAAAAATCCCGTAAATATTCAGGAATAACTGGAAATATTGGAAAGCCAGCATTTTACTTTTTTTCTTTTCTTTTCTCCGGAGAACCAGTTTGGTGTAGTGGTTAAGTGCACGGACTCTAATCTGGGAGAACCAGGTTTGATTCCCCACTCCTCCACTCGCACCTGCTGATGTGATCTTGGGTCAGTTAGAAGCTCTGGCACAGCTGTTCCCGAAAGAGCCATTTGTGTCAGAGTTCTCTCAGCCCCACCCACCTCACAGGGTGTCTGTTGTGGGGAGGGGAAGGGAAAGGAGTTTGTAAGCCGCTCTGAGACTCCAAGTGAAGGGCCGGGTATAAATCCAATATCTTCTTCTTAAACCAGATCTGTACGACGTGTGACAGCACAATAGCCCTGTCACCTGCTAGTTTTTTTTTATACACAAAAAAATACCTTCCGGCGGGAGTGCAAGGAAGCCCCGCGAAGGCCCTCCCTGGCCCCAGGCAGGCAGGGGTGGGGAGAGGCAGGGAGGAAGCAACTTACCCTCCCTCTTCTCCTGCCTCCTCCTGGCTGAATGAAGGCTGGAAGCGGGGCGGCTGGAAGCAGGGGGCGGGGCTTCGTTGTGTGCCCCGCCCCCGTACCTCACCCGGGGGAACTGCGATCTCCCGCGTTCCCCCCCGAAATGACCTCTGGCCCCACCTACCTCACAGGGTGTCTGCTGTAGGGAGGGGGAGGTAAAGGAGTTTGTAAGCCGCTCTGAGACACCTTTGGGTAGTGAAGGGCGGGGTATAAATCCAATCTCTCCTTCTTCTTCTTCTTCCTGAGCTTGGTATTGGCTTGCCAGATTGATTTGGGACTTAGACTCTATCCCTTCAAATTGTTTTTGTTGATTCTGCAACACTGTTTTCTTTGCTTGAGTTAGTTTATGTTGGGTTTTTCGATTTTGGGGTCTGGCATTGCCTTTGATTTTGGGGTTGTACATCGGCCTGATTCTCTGACTTTACATTTGTTACACATCCAACCATTTTGCATTTGTTACGCGTTCTATTCCTTTCAGCTTGGGCAATTCTCTGGGTTGACACCGGGTTGGATTCTCAGGTTGCACATTTGTTGCGTCAGGCTTGCCACGTTGTCCTGTGGTTCTGCCAGGATTTGCCGGTTCTGCATTGGTTCTTTGGGCTTGTTAGTTCTGTCTGCTTTGAGAGGCTTTCGGTCAGGGGTTACTTAGCTTCCTCTTGAGTGTTTGGTTACTGTTTGCCCAGGAGAAAGCTTGGAGCCTCCATCCTTATTAAGCAGTGGCGGGTGGCTGGAGGCACCTTGTTTGGGGCCTGTAGAATTGGACTTATTCTCCCATTTACTTTTGTTGGTTGAATTTCATTTTCTTAGCTGTTTAACACTTAGCTCTTTTATATGATGCATCGTTGTGGTGACACTGATCTCTGGTTTTATTGCTCTTTGTATGGTGTTTTATTGTGCTTGTCCTGTATTTGCTCTGATTTTATAGCATGCTGGAAATTTTACGATAACGGCTGTTTCTGTGCTACCGTTTTATCGGTTAGCATTAGTTATTATGGAACAAAGTTTTGAGTCCTGTGGCACCTTTAAGACCAACAAAGTTTTACTTGAGGTATAAGCTTTCGTGTGCATGAATACTTCTTCAGATACAGCTTTTACCTTGCTTAAAGGTGCCACTGGACTCAAACTCTGTTCTGCTGCTTCAGTTCAACGTAGCTACCCACCTGAATCCATTACTCATTGTGTCACTCTGGTGGAAGCCACCAGGGAAGTTCTCGAAACAAAAGATGTGGGATAAAAAAACTGAAATGAACACACAGTCAAGGGGCTGGATCCTGAAGATCCATTCCGCTAATCTATTCCGCTCGCCCCTGCTGCAAGAGCACCTGATGCTCACTTGTCACAAGCCTGACCGTTACATAAGAACATAAGAGAAGCCACTGCTGGATCAAGCCGATGGCCCATCCAGTCCAACATTCTGTCACACAGTGGCCAAAAACACCAGGTGCCACCAGGAGGTCCAGCAGTGGGGCCAGGAGGACACTAGAAGCCCTCCCACTGTTGCTTGCTCATTCTCACCTAGATACCAAACCCTTAGTGAAGCTCCAGCATTTAAATGAGGCTAGGAGAAGGCAGCCCTGCCCTGGATGGCCCAGGCTGGCCCAGTCTCAACAGATCTCGGAAGCTAAGCAAGGTCGGCCCTGGTTGGTGCTTGGATGGCGGAGCATCAAGGAATACCAGGGTCACTATGCAGAGGCAGGCAGTGGCAAACCACCTCTGGACGCCTCTTGCCTGAAAACCCTACGGGGTCACCATAAATTGGCCGGGACTTGATGGTACTTTACACACATACACACAAGAGAAGGAAGACCGTTACTCCACACACAGACAATCCCTTGGTAAGCCAGGCAACTGGGAGCGAGGAGGGGGAAGTGCAGGGAGTTTGACTGGGGGCAGAAATTTACCCCGGGGGAAAAACATGAGAAAAGGAAGGATTCTCTGCAGGTGGGCTCAAGCCCCCCCCCCCCCCCCCCTGCTCAGAAGAAGAGAAGAGATTGGATTTATACCCCGCCCTTCACTTGGAGTCTCAGAGCGGCTTACAAACTCCTTTCCCTCCCCCTCCCCACAACAGACACCCTGTGAGGTGGGTGGGGCTGAGAGAGCTCTTGACACAAGCTGCTCTTTTTCAAGGACAGCTGTGCCAGAGCTTGCGACTGACCCAAGGTCACATCAGCAGGTGCAAGTGGAGGAGTGGGGAAACAAACCCGGTTCTCCCAGATTAGAGTCCGCACACTTAACCACTGCACCAAACTGGCTCAGCTGCTCAGACCCAGAGAGAGGGAAAGCAGAAGAGCTGGTAGTTATAGCAGCATTGTGGGTGGTCAGAGTACTGGACCAGGATCTGGGAGGTAAAGGTAAAGGTTTCCCTTGCTCGAAAGCCAGTCGAATCCGACTCTAGGGTTGCGGGGCTCATCTCCGTTTCAAAGCCGAAGAGCTAGCACTGTCCGAAGACGTTTCCATGGTCATGTGGCCGGCATGAGGCGCACGGAACGCTGTTACCTTCCCACCGAAGTGGTACCACCTATTTATCTACTTGCAATTTCTTGCTTTCGAACTGCTAGGTTGGCAGGAGCTGGAACTAGAGACGGGAGCTCACTCTGTCATGCGGCACCCGGGTCTCGAACTGCTGAACTACTGACCTTCCATAGCCTGCAGTTCAGCGTCTTAACCACTTGAGCCACCGCAGCTCCAGGGTCAAATCCTCACTCTGTCAAGGAACCTTGATCTTGGGCCAATCATACACTCTCAGCCTAGCCTACCTCACGGGGCTGTTGTGAGAATAAAATGGAAGAGAGGAGAACAATGGAAAGAAAGGCAGGGTGCGAATGGCTTAATCCATTCGAGCCTCCTCATACCGGAGGAAGCCACTGCCCTCAGGAAGAAGATAGACTGCAGCCTCACATGTGGAAGTCCAAAGCAGGTGATGCACTGGGTTTTTTTTGTGTTGCCCAAAGATCTCATACCTGTGGCAATATTTAGAAAGGAATCGTCTCAGGCAACCCACCGTGTCACATGCTCTGAAAAGACGTCGGAATGAATGCGCATCATGAGGTCCCCCCCAGGAGTGTATTCCATCACAAAACAGGCGTGACTCGGTGTCTGGAAGCAAGCAAGCATGTTCACCAGGAAAGGGTGGCCGGACGAGTTGACCACTTCGAAGATTCGCTTCTCACAATTCAAGCTGCCGGGAATAAAACAGGGAACAGTGTCAGGGGGCCAATTGAGTCACCTTCCCCCCCCCCATCTTCCTATAACTATGAGAACTAGAAACCTTATTTTTAAGTGAAATGTTGGAGTTGCAGAATTCTGTGTTTCTCTGAGCAGCGGGGCAATCCCAATCATGGAGATGCCTCAGCACCCAGCTAAGATGCTTTTAATTCCTCTGGCTGATTTCAGACATCATACCACGGATTCCGCTAAGCCAGAGTTTAGAAACATGAACCACGGCTTGAGGCTCAAAACGCACAGGCCAATCACAGTCCAGAGCTATTGGACTGCTTAGCGTGCCAGACTCTAGCTGCACCGGCCTTCTGCAGGTGGAACAGCCCTAACCGGGGTTTGTCAATGCAGACGTCATGCCAAACCAGCTAGCGCAAACCGCGGTTTGAACACTAATTTTGTACTACTATTTCCAATTCACCAGCTGATCACAAGCCACGGGCCTCCCAATTTAGACAAGCTGCGGTTAAGCTTCCTTAACCATGAGGTCAGCTCGATGACAATGAATCCAGAAGCTTCTCTCTCAGATTTTGACTGTGGCTGAAACGTATTTCAAACCATGCCTGCTGATCAGCTCTCCTGGCAGAGATCTTGCTGGGCCAGCAGCTGCAATACCAGCATTGGGGGCAAACTCTCACCTGTCCATCTCATCCCGGCTGAGGATGTCGTGCTTCTTCAGGGCTTTGATGGCATACAGCTTGCCTGTGGCCTTGTACTGTGCCAGCAACACCTGAAACGGACAACATTTATATCCTGCCTTTCCTTGCAGCTCAAGGCAGCATACAATAATAAACGACAGTTAAATAATAGCTCAAGCTAAAATAACATGCCCCAACATGCTAAAATAACATGCTCTCGGCAAGATGGAAATCCTCCTCTTTCTGGAATGGAACTGTGCAGGATTTTGCCAGACACCCCTTTACCACAACAGCTCTGTGCTCCAGTAACCACTGGCTACACCAGGGGTGCCCAACCTTTTTGAGGCTATGGGTTGCTGTAGAATTTTGAGAGGGGAGTGGTGACTGGTGACCATAGGCTTACCAAGTGGCGGCGGGGGATCCGCATGTCTTCACAGGATCCCTGCCGCGGGGACGGCGACACGCGTTGCACCCACCGTCGCCAGGATGTGATGCTACGCGTCGCTCTGGGAACGGGACTCCAAACAGCCCCGTTGCCAGAGCGACGCGTTGCGTCACATCCTGGCGACAGCGGTGCAACGCGTATTGTCGTCCCCGCGGCAGGGATCCTGTGAAGACATGTGGATCCCCCGCCGCCACTTGGTAAGCCTAGGTGAGTGCCACCCCAAAATGGCTGCCTCGGGAGGCAGAGCTAAATGCAATACCTCCCACCACCTGGGAAGAAGGAAATCTGGAAGGGGGACTAGAACCACACACTGACTAAGAAAATCCCAACCGTTTACCGGTCACATAAACACATGAAGCTGCCTTGTACTGAATCAGACCCTTGGTCTATCAAAGTCAGTATTGTCCACTCAGACTGGCAGCGGCTCTCCAGGGTCTCAGGAGGAGGTCTTTCCCACGACCTACTGCCTGGTCCTTTTAACTGGAGATGCCGGGGATTGAACCTGGGACCTTCTGCATGCCAAGCAGAGGCTCGTTCACTGAGCCACGGCCCCTCCCATCTGCTAGTGGAAAACCAATATATTTGAATGAGGGAAGCCAATAACAAGCCCTGCCTTACAATGGAACCACCCATTTTCTGAAAAGCTCGTCAGAGGAGAGGAACATAAGAACATAAGAGACGCCAATGTTGGATCAGGCCAAAGGCCTATCCAGTCCAACACTCGGTCACACAGTGGCCAAAAATACCAGGTGCCATCAGGAGGTCCACCAGTGGGGCCAGGACATTAGAAGCCCTCCCATTGTTGCCCCCCCA